ATAAGGGTCGGGGCAGTCAGGGGACAGGTAGGGGGTAGGGTCCTAGGGGGGCAGTTAGGGTGGGGGGGTCTCAGGAGGGGGCAGTCAGGGGACAAGGAGCAGGGAGGCTTAGGTAGGGGGTGGGGTCCTGGGGGGCAGTTAGGGGCAGGGGTCCCAGGAGGGGGCAGTCTGGGGACAAGGAGCGGGGGGAGGGTTGGAATTCTGAGGGGGGCAGTCAGGGGGCAGGGAGTGGATGGGGCTAGGGTGGGGCTCCCCCCTCTTTCCATTAGATGCAGGGTTCACAGTTTGGTTCAATGGCTCTCAGCGCCCCACTACACATTTCTTCTATAGAGATATCCCATCTCCTAGAACTGGAAGGGACCTTGAAAGGTCATCGAGTCCAGCCCCCTGCCTTCACTAGCAGGACCAAGTACTGATTTTTGCCCTAGATCCCTAAGTGGCCCCCTCAAGGATTGAACTCACAACCCTGGGTTTAGCAGGCCAATGCTCAAACCACTGAGCTATCCCTCCCTCCCCCAACATTGCTCCAGCCCCCCGTTGGAGGCAGCGCAGCTAAATGAAAGAAAGGGGGGGAGCTCCCAAGAGGGCAGGCCATCGCCCCAGGAGCCGCGGGAGGTAACCTGACTTTACCGACCCCCAACCCGCCGCCCTCCAGCCCGGGGGGCACGTTACTGGCGGGGGCCCGGCCAACCCTGCGGGGATGGGGGGAGCGAGCCCCGGGCACCCGGCCAGGGCCGGGCATTGCAGCAAAGGGGGCTGGGGGACTCTGAGCTGCAGCTTGTGGGGCAGGGACTGTCCGCATTTCCCGCCGGAGCAGGACCCAGCCCGGCGAGTTCGCAGCTTTTCTCACAACCACGTCCACGCCCCGCAGCCCTGGGAGCAACGAGAGCGGAGCGGGGTCCCGGGCGCGTCCGGCTCGACGGAGCTTCGGTTCCCTCCGCCCGGAGGTGCCGTGTCCGGGGGTGCAGGGCGAGCTCCGCCCACCCCTGCGCCCCACACCCCCGGGCCCCGGTGACCCTGCCCCGCGCCCACCCACGGACTGGCTGGCGGCCCCGCGGAGCCCCCCACGTGCGCCCGGCCCCGCCTCCGCGGAGCCCGGCGCAGCGCCAGGCGCCTCCCCCGCCCGCCCGTCCGTCGCTATAAGGGGCGGCCGATGGCAGCGCCTCAGTCGGAGCCGCCGCCGGACCCCGCCGGCACCATGCAGCGAGCCCGAGCCCGCGCCCTGCTCTGCCTCGCCCTGGCCGCGCTGCTCGGACCGCCCGCCCAGGCGTGGTACAAGCAGGCGGCCGGACCCAGCTCCTACTCGGTGGGCAGAGCCTCGGGACTCCTGTCCGGGATCCGCCGGGCGCCCCACGTCCGCCGCGCCGAGAGCGGGACAGACAGCGCCGAGCGCCGCGCCGAGCTGCTGCCCCCCGAGCCGCCGGGCCCCGCGCTCCGGAGCACGGTGAGTGGGGGCTGCCCCGGGGCCCCGTCTCTGCCGCCTCCGGCAGTTCCGCGCCCCCCGCTCCTCTGGGGCCGGGCCAGCCGCCCCTCTAGGACCTCCCCCCCCCCCCCCCCGCCAGGGGCCAGGCGCCCCTCCAGGACCCACCCCCCCCGCGGGGCCAGCCACGGCGCCCCTCCAGCCTGCACCCGCAGGACCCACACCCCGGCGGGGCCAGCAGCAGCCCCTGGCCCCAGCAGGCAGGAGTAGGGAGAACCGGGTCCCTTTCACCGCTGAAGATGCAGCAGGTGCTGGGGCGGTGGGGGGGAAGGGGTCCGTGTCCCCGACAGTTCTTTGCGGGCTGTAACCACCCACTTCTCCACCCCCAGGCTCTGTGCGTGAAGGACCTTGCCCTGGAGCTGCCGAACTGCCAGCTGCTGTCCGGAGCCCCCAGCACGATCCTGTGCAAGGCTGATGTCACCATCTCCCTCAACCCCTCAGACTGTACCAGCACCTAATCCCCCCGCTATGGGGGGAGCAGCACCCTATCGTCTGCAGCTGACAATAAAGGCACCTTTAAACCATCTCATCTCTCTCCTGCTTGTCATGGGGGTGGGGGGGAGATGCCAGCCCCAGGAGTGCTCTGCCCCCACAGTTCTGCTCACACCCACTTCCCCCTGGAGGGACCTGCCTTCCACCCTGCTCACCCCTTGGGGATCCCTGAGGGGCTGGGCTAGGAGGGAGGGGCCACAGCTGGGAATTTACCCCCCACCCCACCACCCAGGGCAGGCTGAGCATCGCTCCAGCCAAGACCACCCCTCAGCATGGGACCACTCACTGGCCAGCCCGAGAGATGCAGGACCCAGACCCCAGCAGCCTCCTAGTCACAGCATCAGGCAGTGATCTTACCTCCCTGCCCTGGCCCAAATGCCATCCATTCAGCCAGCTCTGCCCCCCTCCCCGCCTTTAATGTGCAGCTGGGGGGTGGAAACAGCCTTTATTTACATCTCACAGCAGTGGCAGGGAGCTCAGAGTCACTCACAAGGGGTCTGGATCCAGGTCTCCTCCCCCCTGAAGGCTGGGAGAAGGCAGCAGGCTCCTGTGGGCAGGGGGGGCTTCCACCCCAGCCCAATTAACTGAGACGGGGTGAAGAGTGTGGGACAGAGCCTCTGCTGGGCCCCCTGACCATCCCTAGCTAGGGCTGCCCCAGGGGCTCAGGGAGAGGCTAGCCCGTGGTTTGAAGTTGGAGGCTCCAACGGCTCCTGCAGAGAGCCTGCCCCCAGCACTGCTTAGCCCCAACCGGTTCAGTGTGGGGCTATTGAAAGGCGCCAGGCCAGGCCACTCAGAGGTAGCACCCACCTCCCCTCTGTCTTTAACCTGAGCACTGTCAGGACACAGCACAGGCTGGGGGCAGGAGCTGCTGTCATGGGGCAGGGCCCAGTGCAGAGGAAAATGGGAGATTCAAAGCACATGTACAACCCCACCTCAGCCCTGCCCCTTAGGGATTAGAGTCACCATGCATGGGGGTAGTGCCACCTCAACCTGTGGGGGAATGGGGGAGAGGTCCTTATCCCACATGGAGCCAAGTGGAAGGAGTTAGTCCCAGAAGAACAGAAGGCTTAGGGATGATGGTGCCAGGAGCCAGGCAGGTCCTTTGACGCCATCATATGTCCATCTGTAGCATACGGCATCTCACTTGAACTCTAGCAGCAAGCCTCCCCCCAGCCGCACCTGCCTGCACTTCACAGCAGAGCTGCTGCCTCCAGGTTTTCCTGGATGATGGTGTCCATCACCATGTGGAATACGCCCTGCACACTGTGTGTGTCTGTGGCGGTGGTGAAGTGGTGGTAGATCAGTTTCTGGGGGGTCTCATTGCACGACAGGAAGAGGCTGGCGATAAATCGGGCTGCAGCACCCACATCACAGTCTGCACCTGCAGGAGAGCAGATGAGGGCAAGTGAGATGGAAAATCTCCACCGCTTGCCCATGTGCAGCACACCCACCACACAACCTCCCATCCCCATAGCAGGCAGGAGAGAGCGCTCTCCCAGGGCAGGGTACCAGGAGAGGGCCATCCCCAAGCAGGCGTGGGGTGGACAGCGAATGTGCTGCTGCTTTTAACCAAATGGCAGCCCTCCTGCCCTATCTGGCACAGAGGGAATCCACTGACGGTCCTGGCCTAACCCTAACGGACAAGCCCATGTGGCTCACCCAGCCCCAATGGGCCAGCACAGGACACGGGCCCAGGAGCTCACCATCCAGAGGGGCACGAGGAGGCTGCGGCGGGGGAGCTATCAGCAATGGGGAAAGTGCAGTTTAAGGGGAGGCTGGAAAGGGGAAAGTGAGGCTGTTCCAGGTCTTGGGGCACAGCAGGCATGAGACAGGGGAGAGGCTCAGGCAGGGTAGTCCCTGAGCGGGTGCAGGACGACTGGGATGCAGGCAGGGCTTTAGTCAGAGTTGGAGGGAGGGGCAGGTCTGCCTTTATAAACCAGCCACCCAGTACTGAGGTGTGGCAATTTACTGCCATGGACACTCCTGGTGTCATGTCAGTCTGTGACATCACTGATTAGAATGGAGATGTCTAATCACAGGCAATGCTGGGAAAGGAACTTCAGATAGCAGGAAACTGGCAAAAGGTCAGGTGTCAGCGCAAGGCTTAATCCTGGCTGACCTCGGGGCCAGGTCGCCCACTGCCTGCTCCGCAGCTCCAGGAGGGGGACAAGGTTCTTTCTTCAGGGGAGAATTGGCTCCAATCAGTGGGAGCTGCACTTGCCACCCACCCAGCTCTCCCAAGGAGGAGAACGAGTCTGGCAGTGTTTTGAGACCACCCCTCGACTCCCCAGCAAACGCTGCTCTCCGCTCCTAGCTATTTATTTCAGCTGGGCTCAACCAGCACCTTACACACCCTCTCCTGGTCTCCTGCTCGTTCAGCCTCTCCACCAAGGGCTGTAACGACCCCAGCTTCCCTCTTGTGGGCTGACTGCCATTTTGTATTCCGTGTTGAAGAACCAGCTGGCCTTGACAAGGTCCGGTCTATTACGCTGCAGTCCAGCCAGGAGCCTGGCTCAAGCAAGGTGCTGGACTCGTAGCTGAATGACTGACTGAGGAGCCATCCGAGCAATCTAGGACCATCAGCATGGATTGCCTCTCACTGCTGGTCCTAGCCGCCTCGCAAGTAACTCTCTACAGATGCCTGAGTGGAGGGGCAGGACTGGCGTTTCTCAGTCTGGGCACAGGGTTAAAGGGAGTAAGACTATTTTAGAGAGGGTGCTCTCAGAGAAGTGGGGTCATCACACGCCAGAAGTCTGGGCTGGAGGGAGAGAGAGAAGGCAAGAGGGATTCTGCCTGGCCTGACATGCAGACTTCGGCCTCCCAGAAGGGATGAGCTCAGAGTAGGGGAGGGGGCATCTGAGGACTGTTTGTCAGTTTGCAAAGATTCATAACTCTCGAGCACTTATAAGAGTAAAGTGACTGTGGATAAGAAATCCCCTTGCTAAGCTGTGTTCCTTGCCTTCCCACCATGCTGCCCCTGAAGGGGTTAAGCTTCAGCATCCACAGCTAGGTGGAACCTGGGCAGAATGTGAGAGTGACTAGGGGCTCCAGGGGGATGAGGCTGTAGTTTTGGGGACTGGGGCACTGGGGTTGCAGAGCCCCATGACTTAAAGAAAAGCTCACCAGGAGTGTGCTCTAGAGACCCAGAGCTTCGGGCTTAAAGCCAGGTGGATTGGGTCCAAGTACAACAGATTAGTGACTGTCCAGAAGAGAGGACTAAGCTGGGTTGCAACACCTGGATTTCAGTCCCAGCAAGAAGCACCCCTAGTAATGGTTCTGTCCCTTGGGACCACATGGCACCAACTACAGACTCCGAGAAAAGCCAAAGGGGCCCTCAGTGCAGATGTTCTCAAGGCCCAGGTGTGGGCTGTGATGCTCCACAGGACACCAAACCCTCAGCTCCTCGCCATCTTGTGGTTTCCCCTCCCTGAGCTGAGCAAGGCCACGCCCTGCAAGGTGAGGTTCCCGGGGGCTACGGCTGCGCAGTGCACTGTAGGACTTGGCCCTAAGGAAACCATTCCCCACTGGTTTGCTCCAGCAGAGGGGAGGAGGGTGTTATAGTAAAGCTAAGGATTCATAGGCCCCAGAGCTCAGCAGCGCCAGGTAAACTGTCCCCTGCCCTGTAACTGCTTTGCTACATGAACACATGGGACCCCAGCCCCCCAATTAGCGTGTCATGAGTGTGCATGCTGCCCTGTCAGACCCCAGAACAGGGAGGCTGCAACAAACCAAACTTCCTAACACTGACCACTCCTGCCATGCCAAGGTCTGCAAAATTCAGCCCTGGAGAGGATCTTCCCTACGCTGAGGCTCTGGCTTGCTAATCTCGGCTCAGGCAGAGGAGCAGGAACTTAGAGATAAAATCCACTTGCAGACATTTCTTTTATAAAGACAAATCTAGAGAGGCAGGGAAGTCGTCTCAACCATTTCCCATCCTGCACCTGGCTCCCTACTGCTCACAGCACCCACCGGTCACAGAAGGGACCCCTGCTCATCTGGCAGTCTGTGCTGTGCCTGCCCCTTGTGCAAACCCAGGAGAAGGAGCAGCACCACGCCCTGCCACCTCAGCTGCAAAGCATCCTTGGTGAGCGCCCAGCGACAGAGCGGGGTGGAGGGAGCCTACCTGTGTACTGAGGAAAGAAGAGACGCAGGTGCCTGCCCAGGTGCAGGATTTTCTCTTGGAGAAGGTCGATTTTATTCAGAAACAAGATCTGTGAAAAAAGCAGGATGATCAGAACCTGCCCTGGCCCTACACTCCTGTTCCCCAAGTCACCTCCTCCCCTCCCGATCATGGCACGGCAGCATAGACCCCACCCACCCCCAATGCCTAATCTGCAAGACGATGCTGGGATGGTTACAGGGGCAGCTTTGCCTAGTCTCCGCTGAGAATCCTCAGGTTGGGGGGGAGGAGATTTAACATCTCTCCCTCCCACACCATCTTCCCGCCCAGCACTGCAGGCCAGTGGCAAACAGCAGCGATTTAGGGCTTGGTTCATGGTAGTCGCATGGCTTCTTTACTCTGCCAGAGCCAGACTCCGGGAGTTTGCCAGTGCAGGGGGATTCCTTGGCTGGCTAAGTGCTGCTCCCTCATATGTTGCTGTTGTGACGAAGTGGGACTGTTCTTAATGTTTCCTCTGAATACTGTGTGGGTGCCTCAGTTTCCCCTATGCATTTCTTAAGTCTTTAGGTGGTGAGGAAAGGCCAGTGTGCATAAATCACTGACACACTGTCTCCCTGGCAACAAATGGCCAGGGCCCCTTCCCCCACTGCAAGGAGATAGCTAAAGGTGAACAAAGAGATCAGGTGACCTCCTGGCCCAGGAAAGAGACAAAGCCGAGAGAAGGAGGGGCTGGAGGGGGTTTCAGAGTTGGAGCTACCTGGGGACTAGGTGTGAGGGTAGACGTGGGTGTCTGGCTCTCTGAACCCCACAATGGACCCGGCTGAGGGGTCTCGTTCGCCGCTGTACCTACAAGCTCTGTTTTAGACCGTGTTCCTGTCATCTAATAAACCTCTGTTTTACTGGCTGGCTGAGAGTCACGTCTGACTGCGAAGTGGGGGTGCAGAACCCTTTGGCTTCCCCAGGACCCCGCCTGGGCGGACTCGGTGTGGGAAGCGCAAGGAGGGGCATATGCTGAATGCTCCCAGGAGAGACCCAGGAGGTGAAGCCATGTGAGCTTCTTGCCCTGAAGACAGTCTGCTCCGAGGGAGAGGAGGCTCCCCAGAGTCCTGACTGGCTTTGTGGGGAGCAGTTCCAGAGCATCGCCCGGGGACTCCATGACAGCTGTGCTCCAGCTACTGCCAGAAGGCAGCTGGGTGCAAGGTAGGGCAAATGCTGAGGCTGGTGCCAATACAGTGCAGCCCCACAGGCACCATGAAACCACATCTCCCATCGCCTGGGGTCCAGCACCAAACTCGGGCTGGGCGCAAGGTGTCTTAGTAAAGTTGGTCTGACAGTAGCACCTAGAAGCCAAGATCAGAGCCCCTCATGCTGAGAGTGCTGGACAGACAGTGAGAGAGGGTCCCTGCCCCAAAGGGCTCCCAGGCTGAAGAGACAAGACAGGCACAGGGTCCCCTCACATCTCTGTGCACAGGGTCACCCAGCAAGCTAGTGGCAGAACCAGGAGCAGAACCCAGGACTCCTGAGGGCCCTGACAATGGGCCCTTAATCCTCACAATCCACTGGGAGGTAGGGGAGAGTTCACCCCGTTGTATAACTGGGGCACAGGGAGAGGGAAGCGACTCATCAAGGTCATATGGTCAGTGGCAGAGATTTCCAGTCTCCTGCTTTAATCACTAGTCTAGGCTCCTGCCTAGGCCAAATCCACCTGAGGCAGCCAGAGGGCCCTTGTGGGGAATAGAGGAGGTGGCCGGAGGTCCCAGTTATCCTGTCAGGAACTGGATTGATTGACCACCCCTGGCTTGAGCTGCAGGAACTCAGTGCTCATAAGGCAGATGCCACTGTTTAATCATTTCATTAGCAGAAATAAATGAACCAATTAGCGAGTGAGATAAGTTACAGGGCCCGGCACTAACTAACACTGTCAAGCAGAACCAGCCCCCCCTCCACAGAGACAGCAGCAGCTGCTTCTTAATTACAAGTGGCAGCCCCACTCAGAGAAGGAGCTGGAGTCCAGGCTGCCAGAAATGGCCCCAGTGTCTCATCACAGTGCCAGGATCCCCAGAACGAGAGCCTGCTGTGCTCAGGTGAGGGGAGCAATGGGCTAGCGGGACCATCCCACCCCTCCCGCATGCTGCAGCTTGCCCGTTCACCACCTGATGCCGGGACAGTGCAGGGTGGGGAGAGCGCTGAGCTCACTGCCCGGTTCCTTACAGCTCCTCCTGCTGGGAGAGGCTGGGACCGGAATCTATGCAGCCAGTGCTTCTGCGCTGCTCCCTTATGGTGCCTCTTGCTGGGACTCACCAGGGAAGTGCTTTGGAAGAACACGTTGTTGCAGACAGAGGAGAAAAGCTTCATGCTTTCCAGAAGCCGATTCTGAGGAAGAAGGAAAACGATCTTGAACACCATGGAACTGCAGTGGATCAGCAGCAGTGGCCGTGGCCAACGCCAGCCAGCTCCCTGGGGCGGGGAGCACCCCTCCGCTTTCTTCCCCCAACCCAGGTCCTGACCTCAGCGCCCCCTTTTGTGCTCTGCTCAGCACCCAGGAGCAAGTGGGCATGCTGGCTGCATTCTCTCGTTAGGAAGGGCCCAGAACTATGCCCGAGGAAGATGGAAGGGGGCAAACTGCGCAGGCCAGGGGAGAGAAGAGATCTACAGATGGGTAACAAAGGGCTGTGGGCCAGGGCACGAGAAGCCAGCAGCCCGGGGCTGCAGCTGGATCACTGGCTTTATGAGAGGGTGCAGGGGAGAAAGGGGGGTTCTGGGCATGGGCAGACCCAGGGGAGGCCGCGGGGAGAACACAGGTGGGATTGGCAGGCTGCTGTCATGCAGCAGGAATGAGTGTTCACGCCCTGGGAGAGGATCAGCTCAGGCACAGAGTGAGCCCCCGATCGCGCAGCAGGCAGAACACTGGCGCCTTGAACACGAGAGAGCCCTCCCCCCCCTCCGAGCCTGGCCTTACCAGCGCTGGCTCCTCTGGGAGAGCCTCATCGTATGCACTGAGAGACGCCACAAACAGCACGGCTCGCATGTCCTCAAAGCAGCCGAGCCACTTCCGGCGCTCAGAGCGCTGCCCACCCACATCGTAGAGCCTGCAAGACAGGGCAGAGTACCGTAGAGGGTCTGCCCAGCAAGGGACAAACAGCTTCCCCAGGAAGGGGACTGAGCAGTAGGTCAGACAGTGAACGGTTAACCCTCCCAGCGCCACCAGGCTGCTCAGCATCACTATCCCTACAGAAAGGAGGCATGTGGGAAGGGGCTGCTGCCAGGTCACACTGCCAGGAGTGGAACCCAGGAGTCCTGGCTCCTGGGCCCCTCTGCTCACCACAAATGCTTCCTCAATGATCTTTAGTGCAATGGTCCTCAACCAGGAGTCCGGGGTCCCCTAGGGGGCCGCGAGCAGGTTTCAGGGGGTCCACCAAGCAGGGCCAGCATCAGACTCACTGGGGCCCAGGGCAGAAAGCCAAAGCCCCACCACATAGGGCTGAAGCCCGGGACCCTGAACCCCACTACCCAGGGCTGAACCCAAAGCCTGAGCAATGTAGCTTTGCAGGGCCCCCTGGCAAATGCCCTGCTTGCTATCCCCAAACGCCAGCCCGGGCTTTTATATGCAGAAAACCAGTGATTGTGGCACAAGTGGGCTGTGGAGATTTTATAGCACGTTGGGTGGGCCTCAGAAAGAAAGAGGTTGAGAACCCTGCTTTACTGGATCCACTGCAAGCACCTAGTGAGCGATGTGCCATTGGGGACGTTCTCAAACCCATCAGACCTACTGCCTACGCCCAGTAACAGCCCCAAACGAACCATCATTCCCCACTGGAGCCCCAGCCCGGGCCCTCAACAGCAGCCCTCAGCCCCCAGTCCCACCCCACCTGCTCGCTGCTCAGGAGACTTTATGTGGAAAGCAGAGGCTGCCAGACGGCAGGCTCCCTGCACCTCCCCGCCCCCATTTACATGGAACCGGCTCTGCAGCCCTGGTGCCCCAGTGGATGAGTGACAAACACGAGTGATCAGTTCCCTCCAGGTGGCAGTTGATGCTCAAATGAGCCAGTGGAAAATTACTACCAGAATGCAACTGGCAAATTACAGCCCGGTCTGCAGCTCATAAACCTGGCGCCATTCCCCGGCGAGCAATTGTGCTCAGAGTCACTGGCAGCACAGGGACAGGCTCTGCCCAGCTCTCCTCTGTTCCAGAGACCAGCACCAACAGGGATGCCAGCACCTCGGCCTGGCACCTGCCAGCTGGGGGCAGCAGGGATGAGAGAGCAGGGAGAGCTTAAAACTGGCATCTGCCGCATTTCCCAAGGGCCTGGCAGCAGCCATGCCCAGGGCTGTGGGAAAGGGGTGGGGAGCTGAGAGTCGGGCTCACGCCAAAAGTTATAGCAGCTACTCAAAACAAGAAGAAACTCCCAGCCCGATAGGGGAGGCACCGTGGCTCAGACCCTCCCATGTGTGGCCAAGGCCGTGTCAGATTCAGCAGCATCTTCCCCCTCCAGTTGTTGGGTTGGTGCCTAAGCAACCGCGCCTCACCCCAGGCAGCAGCGCAGAAATAGGGACTGTGCCCTCAGGCAGGGTCTCTGGATGGTCAGACTCAAACCAGCGAATCCAAACAGCTCATTACAACAACCACAACCATCCCTGTGCCTCCCAGAGCCCGTCCGTCTGCAGGAGCCCCAACAGTCAGAGGAGTCTAACGCATCTGGCACTCAGCTATGCCACCTGAGAATAGAGGGAATGGCCCCCAGCCTGAGGGGTCCCCCACAGCAACCCACCAGCCCCAGCGCTCGGCAGCCTGCCCCTGGAGAGCAGATGCCTCGGGCTGCATTTGAGAATACTGGCCTGCCCCCCCTCTCCCCGCCCCTCTTGCTGCTTCTGCTGAGGCAGCCAGTGAGGGGGCAGTTAGTGCTGTGTGGGGTGGAGAGACAGGCAGAAACCTGCCCACATGGAATTGGGCCTGGATACCACTGCCAGCCCCCAGATCCCAGTGCCAAACACCTCGACTTCGTCAGGTATTCCCCTCCCCCCGCCACCTCAGCTACTAGAGACATTTTAGGTCTTTATCAAATCAAGCAGAACTCAGAAGCCTTCTGTGTGGGAGGACAGCGCTGCTCAGGGAGGGCAAGGGAGAGCCACATGCCAGATAAGCCCACGCGGGGGGATTAATGGGAAATCGATGGGGCTTTGCTGGTCAGGGCCAGCTTCCCAATTAGCGCAGTCAAGTCACTATGGGGAAAGTGTCTGCTTAGCAGGCTGATTTCCTCCGGCCCCACCTCCCCAAGGCTCTGGGTGCTGTCAGGCCAGGCCTGGCCCCTAGTCTCCTCCCAACTCATCCGGCCACTCCCTACCCAGCGCGTCTCATCCGCTGGCCACACATCTCACCGGAACACCAGGTCCTTGATCCTGAAGTGGGTCTCAACGATGCCACTTGTGCGCAGTCGGACACGCAGCACGTCGTTTGGCGTGGGCTGGAACTCGGGGTGGACGAGCCGCTCCATGTTCTCAAAGAAACTGGGGAGAGATCCTTATAGCCTCTCTCATCTACACCGCATCTTGCCAGAGTCTGTCCACTCCTCCCTAGCCAGCTCCCCCGCCACGGAGCCTGACCAGTGCCTCTCCTTCACCCAACCAGACTTCCCAGCCCTCCTTTCAGCCCCACATTCTCCCCCTCCCCAGGCATCTCTCAAGGCCTTGAAATGACATCACAAGCTCAGGAGAGCTCCAGTGCCCAAGCTGTGCCCTACCCCAGTACAGGTGTTTGAGGCAGTTTCACTGACCCAGGGCTGGGCCCCTGAACCCCCCAGGAAAGAAACCAAGTCAAATCCTTTTCTAACCCCCAGCCAATGGTCCAGGTCTCTCGGCGGTAACAGGCAGCTCCTTCCAAAGCAAAACAGCACACACACCCCCCAAAGAGCACGCTTGGCCCTGTGCCCCGGACCACCCTAGGCCCTGCACCGACTCCAGGCCTCCGCAGCTTTAACCAAAAGCAAACACCCAGCGGATGCTGGGGTCCCTCAGCAGAGCCCCTTCTGCTGCCCATCCCTGCATACACCCCCAAACTGGAAGATGCCGGTTGCCCTTAGAGATCCTGAAGCAGGGAGGCATTGCAGGACTGTCCAGCTGAGAACTTAGGGGCCCCCACAAGCCTGGAGCTGACTGGCCAGAAGAGGGGCCTGGGACCAGGGAAATGGAACATCACAGGGCCAAGCTGTGGCAGCTTCAGAAGCCAACACGTCCACCCACCCCAGCCCAGCAGGGGTCACCCCCGGACTGGGGCTCATGCGACGCCTGAGGCCGTGGATGAGCAAAGCCCCAGGATGAGGCTGGAAGAGCAGCTCAACGCCTGGCAGTGTTAGTGGCAGCTCCTCCACGGGAGAGTCACTGAAGCTGCTGGTGCAGTCCAGGGCTCCCCCACCCCCTCCTCCCCCAGCCCGTCTCGGAAGCAGCACTAAACACGGTGCTGCGGGCGCATTTCCATAATTTCACACGCGCCACAAACGACTCAGCAGCTCCCGTCGGGCAGTGGTGACACTTTATTGACTCTCCCAATCTCTGCTCTCCTGGGGCTGACAAGTGCACAAAGCGCTTCCCTCCAGCAGCAATAATGTGCTCACAATTTCCATACTAATCTCCCCAGCCAGGAGGAGCCATCCCACACCACAGACAGGCTTTCCAAACACTGCTCTGAACAAGAGCCCCATCCCGATCCTCCGCCCTGGGGGGGGCTGACAAGTGGCTGTCCATCCCCCGCCCCCCCACGTTCCTCCGACGTCTTGGGGAGACACGGTAGTAGTGCTGCTGCCCTCCGTGTGTCCCAGGCTTCAGCACAGACGTGGCAGCTTCCCAACCCTGTGTCCTTGGCACTGGCTGTAGACAGCACCCCCAGAGCACTGACTGGTGAACAGTTCATGCTTCCTTCTCCCAGCTTTACTCAGCTCAGGACGCTCTCCCCCAATGGCCTGGCTAGCCAGTAAAAATTACCCTTTAGATCAGGAGCTGTAATTGCTTCCGCGATGCCAAGGCAGAGACCCAGGAGCTGCCGTCTCAGGCTGAGACTCTCCTCTTCCCCAGCAGCACCAGCAGAAGGATGCAGCAAAATCTGCCCTTTAATTGTCTGGCAGCTTTGGCTGGAGGGCAAAACCAGTCCCAAGCCCCAGGAGAGAAGAGCCTGCCGACAAACACTCAGATCTCTCCATAGCTGTTACGCAGCCCCAGCTTTCCCCACCCAAAGCTACCCCAGTCCCAGGCTCTCTCAAGCAGGTGGCACTGTAGGAATGGCACAGAACCCTGACTGCAGAATTGGGGGCAGTTTATATCATGGCCTGTCCCTGCCCCCACAGTAGGAGGCGCTGGAGCATTAGTGGGAGTTGGGGAGAACACAGCTATTCTGGTCACAGCCAGGGGCCCCCTTCCAGGGGCGCCCGGTTATTCTGAGAGCAGGTGCACTGACCTGTGTGTGTTCTGGAAGCCAGGGCCCCACGGGAGCCATATGGTAACTACAACTTCCAAGAACATCTCTGAAACAGAAAACAATCAAAGCCCAAACTTGAAATTCATGAGCCTTTCCTCCAATCTAACTCCAAGTTTTCTTCCTCCCCCCAGGACTTGCAGGCCACAAGCAAACACAAGCACAGAAAAAGAGGGGCCCGGAGGCACTAGGAGACTGAAGAATATAAAATGCAAAAAGATTTCTGCTCAGGAATTACAATAAGAGGCTGCGAGGAACTGCAGCTCTGCCAGGCACTGTTTATTCCATCTCATCAAGAGAAGCTGAAGTTCCTGAGCGAACGAGTGATACAAGCAGTCAGGCACCAAAGCACTGGGGAGAGCAAAAATTAAATAACATTGACATTTAATAACCATTGCAACTGTTTGGGCCCAGAAGCAGCATCTTTCTATGGAAATGTTCAGCCGGGGGTAGAATTGCCACTTTTGTTGGGTTGTTTGTATTTAATGACAAACTCTTCTTGAGTCTGACTTTGCAGAGGGAGCCGAGAACTGACAGGTCTCACCGTGCCAGGGAACGAATATGGAAATGGGAACACTCCCACCCCAAGACGAACGCTGAGCTCTAGGACGGCCCAAAGTGGCACAGGAGACACAACTTGCCCTTTTGGCAGCTTGAGGCAAGAGCAGGCACAAGGCAGCAGCTGATGGATCTGCAGAGGCACCAAGACGTGGCTAGGAGACGAGCGGCAGGTGTGGTGGTGTCACACACCAACAACGAGAAAATAAAAGTCCAGAATAAAGCATCGGCCACGTCCAGCCAACCCCCCAGTAACTGCCCCCCGACCAGAGCCATCTGCAGCTGCCGTTCTGCTTGAGGCTCTCCAGTCTGCTTCTCTCTCCCAGTGCCACCCCCCCCACACCACAGATGGGCAAAGGAGCAGCCCCAGAACCACTGCTCTGTGCCCTTAACCCCTCTCCAGCAGGCACAAACAAGCCCAAAGTCCTCCTCGATGGATGGAACCAGCAGAATGCTCCTGCCTAGCCCCCAACACCCGATCACAGCCCCAAGGGCCTCATTAGCTCAGTTACCAGCGGGGTGGGGCCCCTCCACGACCTCACCCCCCCAGGGGAGGCTGGGCAGTGGGCCAAGCACAGGGCAATGAGGGGCCCCTTTCTCCCAGGCCCAGGGCTCTGCTCTGCCCAGCGTTGACTAACTGGGTGAGGGAAGCACAAGCTGAACTCACGGAGAGATAGAGGCAGCAGAAATCAGGAGAGAAAGCCCCACTCCAGGCTGGGAGGCTGCCGAGAACATCATGGACCAGGAGGGATCCCACCCACCCCACTTCTGCCTGGCAGGCTTGGCAGAGACCACAGAGTCTGCAGCAGGCTCTCGTCTTTGTTCTCTCCGGCCGTTGATCCAGCTCTTGTCACTTTACAGCTGTTACAGTGGGTCCCAAACCACTCCCAACCCTCCACCGACAGGAACACTCTCCCTGCCAAAATGCAGCTGCCCGGGGTAATCTGCGTAGCACAGGAAGGGAAAGAGGATGTTTTGCTGCGAACACACACAGAGCTGAGGTGGCAGGGGAATGGAGCCAGGCCACCAGGGTAACACTCCTACTGCAGAGGATGATTAATGGGCAGGAGGGGCCAGCAGCTCTGAAAGCATTCAGAGCCAGCCACATGGGTCGTCCACCACAGCGGGGCCTGAGCTCCAGGTGCAGCACCCACACAGTGCCCATGCACACACAGCTGGCTGCACATGGGGCACACACAGGCTCCCGGAGCTGAGGCCACTGCACATGGGATTGTCACTGCCAACTCCCAGCAGCAAAGGAATTCAACAGGCCTGAGTGTTATGGGCTCAAACCCTCCCCCACAAGATCAGCCACACAGCAGGAGAGCCACAGTGCAGTGCACTGATGGGGCTGCAGTACTCACTAGAGCGCAGAGTCATTGAGGCCATATTCGTAGCCTCTCCTGGTTGCTGCTTGCACTCCATCATCAGCCCAGAGGCAGCACAGAGCATCTGACACCCAGGGAAGCACCATCTGGGTCTCATCCAAACAGTGGCTGCAGGACAGCACGGAGCGGGCATGCACCTAGGACAGGGAGAGAAGGGCCCAGATCAGTTGGGAATTGCTGGAGCATCTTGGCTTGGGGCAAGCATGGGAGGGGAGGGCTTCAGAATGGGCCCAAAGCCTCCAGGTCACCCTCTGCTCAGCTCTAGAGAGGACTGGAGCCTCCTATAGTTCCATCCCCCAAGCCACTCCTGGGACAGACATGTACCTCAGAAGGCTCCGAGCCTGCGCTCACGTGTATGGTGGGGAGGGGGTTCCTTCCCCATCACAATCCCCTTCTAAAGCTAAAATCTTTCCCACAGTGACAGGTCTCCTGGCTCCAAGAGCAACTGTGTCATGGATGACAGAGTCATTACTGAAATGCCAATACAGTGCCTTGGAGATTAATAGTCCACAGACATGTACCCCCCCCACCGCAACAGGGAACAGATACACACACACCGCTCCCCCACAACGTGGGATGGGGCAGGGGATCTGCACACACAACGGCAATACTGGGTGGCCCCACCCCACTCAGGTAGAGCCTACAAGATCGCTTGCACTTTCCTGCTTTATAACGATGATGCGGAGTCTCAGCAGTGAGCTGTTCTAGTGAGCCCCACTTGCCCCCCATCTACCCAAATCTCCACCTTCCCCACTCCCAAACTGCTGCAGTGACACACTGCACTTTCAATGCAGAGCCCTGCTGCAATCTGACAATCCAGGCAGCATAAAACAAATGCAATTTAATATCATGCTCAACACCACGAACTATTTTACTCGCTGCATCATTTCGTTTTCTGGTGAATTCAGTAAGGCTTTCCTCCCTCCACTCATCTGAACATGTGCATATCTTCCTGGTTGCCCTGCAGGCCTGGCTGCGGGAACTGGAGGTGGGGATCACAGACCCCGGAGACTAAGGGGGACAACGGGCATGGGAAGCACCCAGGAGCTGGGCTGGGGACCTGTTGTAAAATTTGCAGTAAGAGACCAACAGATCCCTGATCGGGACTAACACTGAAGAGCCACCTCCGCCCCATAACCCCAAATCCACCCCCCCCGGGTGCTGATCAGTACTAGTTCCCTGACACAGACAACCTCTTATAGGTGCTGGAGCTAGGGGAGCTGCCACACCCCCAGCTTGAAGTGGTTCCATCCTATACAGGGTTTACAGTTCGGTTCAATGGCTCTCAGTCCCCCACTGTACACATTGTTCCCCTGCAACCTTCCTGGGAGACGTGGCTCAGAAAGGAGATGATTGCACAGGTTATAACTGGGTTAGCCCCACAAAGTAGGACAGGCAGGAACCACATGGAAGGGGTCAAATGTGAGTGCACAGAGGGGTTGGACACGAGTAACCCCTGGAATCAGTCCCCTGAGTGGAGTTGTGTCCCCGCCCCTGACTCCAGTTCAGCCCTCTAACACTCGGTCCGTGTCCCCTCCCGCAGCAGCCCAGCTACCTGATTCTTGCTGTTTGTCAGGTCGATGTGCAGAGTCCCCATGCCGCGGAGAACAAACTTCATGGAGCTGAGCAGATTGTCCAGCACGGCAGGCTGCAGAGAGAGAGGGAGACGCAGAAGGGACTCATTCTGAGGGCAGGAGAGGAAAGGGAAAACTCGCGAGTGCCAAACGGGAGCCAATGCAGTGGGAGCAGCAAGTGCCCTCCAGTTCCCAAAGTCCAGATCATCACCACAATCATACGAGATCTGATTCCAGTTAACGCCATTCAGTAACACGGAGTCAGTCCGAGAGGCTCTCTGGCGAATTAGAGGAATCTGAGCAGGAGTCCAGGGGACAGATAAAGTCAAACTTTTTCATTCCACTAGGAACCAAAAGCTGTTTCCAGAGGTGCTGGGAGAGGTGCTGCCTGGATTTCCAGCAGTGCCTCTGCCTGGCAGATACACATGAGGTTCCTTATCAGGATAAACGCAGGGCCCATAGCACCACTCCCCTCACACAGCAGCTCTGTTCCAGGGCACTCAGCTCTATCCCTGCCCCAGAACCCCTCTCCCCATCCCAACAGCTGCAGTCTGTTCTCCCCTCTCAGTGGTCACTTGACCATATACAGACTCAGCTCTTATCGTCTTCATGTTGCTTTCTCTGAATACCTTCAAGTTTGTCAATGTCTTTCTAGTACAGTGGTTCTCAAACTTTTGTACTGGTGACCCCCTTCCTCTGAGTGTGACCCCGCCCTTATAAATTAAAAACACATTTTTATATATTTAACACCATTATAAATGCTGGAGGCAAAGTGGGGTTTGGGGTGGAGGCTGACAGCTCACTACCCCCCATGGAATAACCTCATGACCCCCAAGGGGTCCCATTTGAGAACCCCTGTTCTAGTACTTTAGTTCTTGAACCCAGCATTCCTGGGGTGTGGACGTCTCGCCAGAGTGAGGAACTGTTCCCTCCAGGCTTTGGGACGTGAGGCCTCTGGCATCTAGAGACCCAGAGCTGAGTGCAAGATCCAGGTCTCCCCCGCAGAGCTGCACATATGCCTGCATTTTCCAGAGTGACTCATCCTTTGGATGCAAGAGGGAGGCCCTTGGAGGGGCCTGGCTTTCCGAGAGGGGTGCTCAGAGCTTCCTGAACATCTTTAAGGTGACTCAAGCTGGCCCACAAATCACTAGGAAATTTGAAGACACAGGCCATAGATGTTGAAGGCAGAAGGGACCATTGTGACCATCGTCTGACCTCCCACACAGCACAGGGCAGAGAACCAGTCAGTGACTCCTGCATGGAGGGAACTATTCTTCCCCACTATGTACATAACACTAGCGCGCCCACTGACTTGGGGTTGAACTGGAATGTGTCCCCTGCTCCGGGGCATGATGCTTATACTGCCCACAATTGGTTGCTGCCATCTGACATCCAGAGAGGCTCAGGTGGTCCCTGAATGCCAAGAGGCCGAGATGCCAACACCAGAAGAGGGCTGTACTGGAGGGAGGAGAGTGCACAGCCAGCAAGGAAAGTCCCACTTCCCTGCGCAAAGGGGGAAATTCCTGCCCCCATCCAGCACTGAGGTGAAAGCGCCCTCCAGGCCATCAGCCCCCAGTGAGATTTCCAGATGGCTGCACTAGCATCCACAGGAAGCCTGGGCTTTTGAGAGGGGTCCCCCAGGGCCTGCCCAATTCAAGCCCCAACCCTGACAGCAGCCAGGCTGGTGTCTGAGCACATCCCAGGCAGAGACAAGCCCAGGCCAGCACCATTCCCACTCACTCACCAGAAGCGTCTCTGGCCGCCTGTTCCACTCTGCCAAGGGCAAGAAAAGACCCAGCTCCTGGCCGGGATCCCACTCCCCAGGAGAGAGGCTGGGAAAGCCAGACCTGGACACAGGGGGCAGAGGGGACTCGCAGTCTAGAATCACCTTAAAGTCGGCTAGCTCCTCCGGGCTGAACCCCTGGCTGTGGATGATTTTCATCTGCTTCACCAGTGTACTCTTGCCACTTTCTGCACTGCCTGCAGGGCAGGAACCCAGTGTCACTGAATCAGCCTGGGGAGGGGACCGAGTCAGTGGGAAGTCAGGGATGTATAGGGGACAGGAGAGGAGACCGGGAACATACCTGAGCAGGCGCTGGGGGGAGAGAAGAAGGGGAAGAGAGCAGCCACAGAGAGCCAGGAGGGTCGGGAGAGAGAGACTGAAATGTAGCCGGGCCCTGGGGAGACTGGCCCCGAGAGTTGGGGAGCGGGGCCCCGGGAAGGGGGGGGCAGGAGCGGCCCCCGGAGCTTGGGTGTGGGGCCCCGGGAGGGGGGGGGAAGGAGCAGGGTCCCAGGTGGGGACTGGCCCCCGGAGTTGGGGAGCGGGGCCCCAGGAAGGGGGGGCAGGAGCGGGGTCCCGGGGGGGGAGCGGCCCCCAGAGCTGGGGAGCTGGGCCGGGAAGAGGGGAGCAGGAGCGGCCCCCGGAGCTGGGGAGCGGGGCCCCGAGCAGGGGACGGGAGCGGCCCCCGGAGCTGGGCAGTGGGGGCAGGAGCGGGGCCCCGAGGGGAGGCGGGAGCGGCCCCCGGAGCTGGGTCCCGGGTAGGGGGGACGGGAGCGGCCGGGCCCCCCCACGCCCTCACCCAGCAGCAGGATCCGCACCGCGCCCAGCTCCCGCTTCGCCTGCTCGTACAGCTCCCGCTCGATGCGGCGGCTGCGGCCGCGGGCTGCGCGCTGCTGCGCGGCGCCCCGGGAGCCGAGGCAGAGCCCCATGGGCCCGGGGACTTTTCAAACGTCGCCGCCGCGGACCGGAGGCTGCAGGCCCCGCCCAGCCGGCTGCGGAGCGAGGAAGGCGGCAGCTGCCGCTCCGCTCGAAGCGCCGCGTAGCCCGAGCCCGGCCCCGGGCTCTCCGGACCCCCGGGGCCGGGGCAGCGCCGGTCCGACACTGGTCGCTGCTGCAGCCGCCCCCGCCCCGCACGGGACACGAGCAGCGCCGCCCGCGGGCCCGGGGCTCCGCCACAGCCCGCCCCGCGCGGGGCCACTCACCACACCCAAACGGCTCCACAAGTTTATTATTTTCCACCACACGTACAAGAGCGACAGACAGAAAACGGCCAGGCTGGAAGGGGGTGCAGCCCGCCCAACATCCCCCCAGGTGGGACCCAGCGCCTGCTACTCCCCAGCCACGGTGCTGCCCTCCCACGCGCGGGACGGGCAGGCGGACTGCCCGCTCCCTGGTTCGAGTACAGGCGAGTCAGCAGCCCACGAGCGGGATGGGCAGGCGGACTGCCCACGCCCTGCTTAGAGTACAGGCGAGGCACTAGCCCACGAGTGGTAACCGGCAGGCGGACTGCCCGCTCCCTAGTTAGAGTACAGGCGAGGCAGTAGCCCACGAGCGGTAACCGGCAGACGGACTGCCCACGCCCTGGTTAGAATACAGGTGGGATAGCAGCCCACGAGCGGGAACGGGCAGGCGGACTGCCCACGCCCTGCTTAGAGTACAGGCGAGGCAGTAGCCCACGAGCGGTAACCGGCCGGCGGACTGCCCACACCCTGGTTAGAATACAGGCGAGGCAGTAGCCCATGAGCAGTAACCGGCAGGCAGACTGCCCATGCCCTGCTTAGAGTACAGCAAGACAGCAGCCCACGAGCGGGAACGGGCAGGCGGACTGCCCGCTCCCTGGTTAGAATACAGGCGAGGCAGTAGCCCACGAGCGGGAACGGGCAGCAAAGGCAAGGAGAAAGCCCACTGTGGTGTGTACTGAGGGCCAAAGTCCACACTCTTGCTGCTGTAGGAAGAGGGGCCAAGGGAAAGCACATGCTTAGTGCAGCTAGTGGCCTCCCTGCTTCCCCTTGGGGAACTATTGGCACTGAGACCTCCCCCCCTGCTCCTGCTAGCTGCACTGCCCACCCCACCGATCCCGTTTCTCAGTATGGAAGCTGGCACTACATTAGCACCAGCCACAGCCGCCGCAGAGCCTTTCCCCCAGCTGTTTGAACCAGTACCAACAGAGCAGAAGCAGTTCTGAGCACTCCCGAAGAGAGTGGCCTGTTCCCAGCACCTGCCCATGCACGGAGCAAGTAGCTCAGCACAGATGGTAGCTGGAGTTTGTCTCCCAAAGACAGCAGCTGATGCTCTGTATCAACTGTGAGGGACACTGCTACAGGTTAAGGGCCTGAATGATTCTCACAGGTGCTAAGTACCCACAACCTCTCACTACAAATTCTAGGTGCTCAGAAGTCAAAATCAAGGGCTTGGGCAGGAGCAGACTCTTCAGTTTGTAAAATTCTTGATAGCAAAAAACCCAGGAAGGATGGTCTGAAGCAGACAGACTCCTAACAGCATAACCAACCAAAATCCCACACCAAGGGGAGCAGAGTCCTGCAGAGGGGACAGCACTTCCCACGTATCAGAAGCCAAAACTGGCAGAAAGTAAAACCACAACATGTTAAAACATTCATTAGAATTAAAACTTCCTTTAAAGGGGTAAAACAAATCTCCCCCAGGAAAGGAGGTGGCTGGGGGCTGATTAAGAGAAAACTAGGAAGCAGCATCCCAGCTTGTCATCTCTGCACAATCTGCAGTAGGATATGAAGAGGGAAGAATGTGTGAGAAGATGCCTTGTTGGGGCCAGCAGCACTGTCCTTGCCTAGGGTATGCCCTAGGCAGGCTTGCTTCTCCAGAAGAGAGAACACTGCGGTGCTCTCCCCTCCACACACTTGTTCTCAATCATCCTAGCTCTGCAGGCCTGTCTCATGCTCCTTTTCCTCCATTTTCTTCATGGCCTCCAGCACAGCCAGCTCTTTTGCTTCTTTCTTCTGGTTCCTGGCTTCAAACTCCAACCTGCAACAAGCAGGAGATTCCATGAAATCCCCACTCTCCCCTTCATCAGCCTTTGCCTAGCCTGGAATAAGGGGGCCCATAGCCCTTCTCTTGACCAGCTGGCACTTCAGAAGCTTTACTGTAAGCCCTCTGTAGAGCCACAGCCCTAACTCAGCCTAGCAAGTAGTTCGCATTATGCAGTGCAGGCAAAGGCCCCACAACTTAGATTGTTTGCCCTTCCCCCCAGCCTCTGTCACCTGCCAAGTCGTGCAAGCTGAGAGATTCTAGGATGTGCAGCATACACCAAATGCAAGAAACTGCTCATGTGCAGTACAAAGGAAAGGGGCAGATCCAGGACACACCTAATGAAATGGTAAAATAACCTATGCTACTGCTCACAAAGATGATCCTGAAATCCATACACAGCTCTGCCAATGCCTGAGTCCTGCCCAGCCCTATTCCAGTTTTAGCCCCTCCTGAAACAGGTGGCTCACTCTGCCAAAACTACCAAACTAGGATTAATAATGGCCCTAGCCAAGGTCCTTGAAAATGAAAGGCTTAGGCTTGAAAGGGCAAAATGCCAACAGCTGGCCAGAGGTGACAGCATAATGGGTTCTCCGCAGCAGGGGAATTCCTACCCCTCCACATTTAATAAGAATAGTAAATAAATAAAACACAAGCTTCTGTGAGAAACTCAAATAGAGGGCACTAACGTGCTTTAAGACTGAATGAGTGAAAGCCTCACTGGGAGGTAGGAACTACACCTCTACCCCGATATAACACGAATTCGGATATAACGTGGTAAAGCAGCGCTCCAGGGGAGCGGGGCTGTGCACTCCAGCAGATCAAAACACGTTCAATATAACGCGGTTTCACCTATAACACGGTAAGATTTTTTGGCTCTCGAGGACAGCATTATATCGGGCTAGAGGTGTACATTAATTTTAGAGATGAGGTAAGGTATGTACATGTGTGTGCTCAGCTGCAGAGTTACATAAGTGGGCATGCATGTAAATGGAGTCTAGCTACTCATTTTCATGTACAGTTTTAGAAACTGGGCCCTAAGTGACTTTCTCCAAGTTCCAAAATAAATCTGTGGCAGAGTTGGGAACAGAAGCCAGGTCTCCTAACTCCCAATTCTGTGCTTTAACCACAAAACCTTCCTCCTCCTGTCTGTTCAGTATGGTTTGTCCTGATGCTGGTTATGGGATCAATCCGGGACTAAATGTGAGTAGAAGAACCTGGAGGTCAGGAAAGCCAACCTGTTCTTAATGATTCTTTGCACAATCAGGTCTGTAGTAAGGTTGCTGCCACTGTCCACCAGCCGGAAAATGCCACGTCTCTTGGGCTCCTGAAAACAAACACAGCAGGCTAAGAGAGGAAGAACATCAAGGTCTTTGGATTTAAAGCCCAGTGAGTGAACAATGAACAGAATCCAAGGCAGGTCCTGAGGGCCCTCAGCCTGGCACAAGATGTAGAATCATCTCTTAGGAAGCAAAGAAAATCTCTGCTGAAAGCCCACAAGCTGCATGGGTGCAAAGGCAGAAAGTGAGCTGGGCGCTCCACAGATTGGCTGCCCAAGGCTGGCGTAGCAGAGCTGAGATTAGAGGATTTTCCACTCTACCATAAAGGCAACAAAATAAGTCAGAACAAAACAATGACTAATGGAAAGGAACCATTCTGGGTGTTCTGTCGGTTCTGATGCTGCAGCTACGTCAGGGGAGAATGGAAGCCAGAGCCGCCTGCCAGGAACTTGTTTGAGTGATGCACAACTTGACATACACACTCAGCTGTGGAGTATCACCGGAGCCAGGCCACATTCAGCATAAATGGGGTCAGTGGCAGCTGCTGGAGACTCACCTGGTATGGATCGGAGCCATCCTTATCTGGCACCACCTCACTCAGCCCATGACACACAAGTTCCACCTGGAGAGATGAGCACATGGTCACTATTATAAATTCCTTTCGGAAAGTGCCACTTCTCCATGTCAGTACTACTGGAACCAGATGGGGACCTGCCCCAAACTCTATGCTCACTGCAGGGGCAGCCTGGTGAAACACCAAAGCCAACAGCTCACCCAGGTTGACAAAAGCACCACAGAGTCATGAGATGAGACATTTACAAATTGGCTGGTGTTGTGCCAACTCCCCCACACTTAAGTGCTTCCCAATGCCACAGCGTACCTTAGCCAACAGAGTCCTTAACTCTGCCCACTCTCAGCATGCACAGACATACAGTCCAGCAAGTAGCACCTCACGTGCACACACACATGCAGCCAAGAATAAAAGAGGAGCTGGCACTCACCTTGAAATGATCCAGCAGATCGGCAGTAACTGCGTACGGGGCGCCAATCACCACCTCGGACACATACTGAAGAAGGAGAAGCCAAGCATGATTCCAGACCCATGAAAGCAGAGTCTGGCCCATCCCCCAATAGCAGTCCAGCTGCTCAGTTGTGTGTGTTTGGGGATTTGAATAGGGGAACTGCAGTATTTGGAAAGGGGGCTCTACAGCCAGTGAACAGAATACAAGATCTTTCTCTTCTCTAAAGAGCCTGGGCCTCATTATGGTTCTCCAGGTAGCAACAGGCTAGTGGTGGAGGCAATATGCAATGAGTTCGCACCACAGAGGCAGACACCAGGAACCTGAGAGGGGGATAGTACTTCAGCTTCTCACTGCTGGAGAACTGCAGCCATGCTTGTGCTATGTGAACTAAGTGTAAAAGGATCTAAAGTAAGAGCAAACAAACATGTTTCTGACATTAATTCTGGTTGAATGCACACAGCAGACCCACAGATGAATGACCCAGGGAAAATATTTCTGGAGCTCCTTTAACCAGAGATTCCTAAAGTGCTACAGGAATCCTTTCAACCAGTGCAAAGTGCAGACACTTCTTCGGAAGAATACAGCAACCCTTCTACAGTGCACAACGACGCTTGTCCAGGACGCTGTGGTTAACATCGCAACTCTTCATAAGAACGCCTTGGGATCTTTAATGACAAGTGTTCATAGCCTTGGTTTTACCTTTACAGCGTTAAACTGAGGCATGGATTCAATAGTGCCTTGACAGAAGTCGTGCCAACTACCTGAATGCCAACACCGGCTTCCACAACACTTGGATGTTCAAGTGGTCTGGCACTGACCAAGCCTGCCCTTACTTAGCTCAGGCATCTTATGAGAACATAGCACATTGTAGCTTGGCAAGCCGGTCAGTTAAAGTCACCTGACTGGTCAATTACTGCCTATTATTTGACCATATTTCAATAGAATCAAATATTCCAGCAGGAATACCCTGATGGGGGCAGAGCCCTACTGTTTTGATTGCATCACGGTACCATGCTTTCATTTTTTACAGCTTCATATCATTGTGTTTCATGTTTCTCTGAGTTAAAATAACGTAGGTAACTTGATTTTTGTAATTAGGCATATGCATCTGTCTAAAGCCAAGCCTATTGGAGGCCATAAAGTCTTACTCTTTTGTTACTGTTCTAATAAATCAGTGCTTTAAAACATCTGACCATGTTTGACATTGACCAATATTTGACTACTCAATTTACCAACCCTAGCCCAAGACACTTTGGCTGCAGAACAGGACAGCTGTGTCTAATTCAAGAAGCAGCATTCTAGCCAGACACTCACCCTGCATGCCAGGACGCTAAGAGTTCTCTCGTGGATGTTCATGATGGGATAGTTCTTCCCTTTGTAGCGATTCACTTCCTATGGGCAAAACACAGCAGTCACCATTAGGGCAAGAGATAAGCCCTCTACCCTCCCCTCTGTCCCTCCCTACATGAAATTCATTCTGCCACTATGCAGGACTGTGACTCTCTCCTGAGGGATTCCAGAGAACAATTTGTCTGGCTCAGAGAACATGGCCCCACAAAGGGGACGAAACAGGCATCCCTACTGCTCTGAGTCCACACAGAGAACCTGGCTGCCAGGACAGCTTTCTGCCAGGACTTTAAGCAGCACTCCATACTGACCTGATCAAAGTGCAGCCCAGCAATGATGTAGGGTCTCTCGGCCAGCAGGTGCACCTTCTCCAGGAAATCTACGTGCCCAATGTCTACGGCTTCTGTTAAGGATGTGAGACCAGCATCACAGCTGGGGGCGGGAGGAGGAGAGCGATACTAAGAAGCTGCAGTATGAGATGGGAAACCTGAGGAACTTTTGTTACTTGCTGCCCTTGTGCCCTGGGCAACTGCCCTCTTCCCATGAGCTCTGGGCACCTACCCACACACCTTCCCAGCCATTGTGTTAATCTGATTTTATTCAGCCTCTTCCAAAAATTTCTAACAGCTTTAGAAACTCTGTGGAAACTGGCCCAGCCCTGTAGACTGGGACAAACAGGGAAAGAAAAATATTCTCACAGGCTGATCCACAGATTGGCTGACCCTGCCACATGCTGCGTTCAGCACTCCCTGAACAGCTGTCACTTGGTCACTGTGACAGG